GTGCCTCCAGCTTGGGCGGCCTCCCTGCCGCCTGTCAGCCCAGCACGGCCTCTGGGTCCCTCAGGCTGGACTCCCAGCCTGTGGAAGCCTCGACCCGACCCTCGAAGAGGCCTTCCCTGGCCCTTGCCGCCTGCGGGGCGTGTCCCCTTCCTTTACGGCCCGGCACAGGCTCTGTCCCCCACGGCCTGCGTCTTCCCTCCCCGTCTGTGGAGGCTGGTACACTTGTGCGCACCCGGTGGGCTCCAGAACCACCTGGGGACTCAGTCTTGGGGAAAAGGTTCTGAAAGAGTCCATTCCAAGTGGGCTAGAAAAATCTAACCGAGGAGACGTGAATCCCTAGCCCACCCCCCTGTGCATACAGTCAGAACAGGCTGCTCCAGTGCGGCCCTTCCCTCAGGGCCACGAGTTCAGGGCCAGCAGAGAGCACCCCCGACGCCCCCTCCCCTGCTCTTGGCCCTGTGCACCTCCAGTATCTGCTCTACAGTCCTCGTGCAGGGCTTGCGCTGGGGGGAAAACGAGGAGCAAATGGCTATTACAGATGGCACCCCAGGATCACAAGGGCACAACTTCACCTTGAAATGGAGCCCACGGGTGGGGGTTGCAGGATAGAAAAAGCAGTGGACAACCACGGCTCCAGACTCTGCTCCCCACTGGGCTGGGCTGAAAGCTTCCCTGCCACCCGTTCTGGTGTCGCAGTCAGTGAGCCCTGCTGGGGGAGGAGTGGATGGGGGAGGAGGGCCAGCCCCGCCCCAGGGAAAGGAGGGAAAGCAGGGACCAAGCCCGTAAGACACAAGTAACTATCACTTATGTATTAGAAATATTTTAAAAGTTTCAATTACAGGTGACCTACAATATGTGTTGTAGGTGGTAGAACAGTGGTTCCCAACCTTCTGGCCCTTTAAATACAGTTCTTCATGTTGTGACCCAACCATAAAATTCTTTTCGTTGCTACTTCCTAACTGTAATGTTGTTACTGTTATGAATCGTAATGTAAATTATCTGATATGCAGGATGGTCTTAGGCCACCCCTGTGAAAGGGTCGTTCGACCACCAAAGGGGTCGCGACCCACAGGTTGAGAAACGCTGGTGTAGAACATAGTGATTAGACATTTACATAACTTACAAAGTGGTCCTTTAGTAAGTCTAGTGCCCATCTGGCACTATACATAGTTATTAAATATATTACTATATTCCTTCTGCTGTACTTGACATCCCCGTGACTGTCTTTATAATTGGCAATTTGTACTTCTTAATTCCTTCGCCTTTTTCACCCCTCCCCCCTCCGATCCCACAACCATCAAGTTGTTCTCTGTATGTATGAGTTTGTGGTTTAGTTTGTTTTTTAGATCCCACATACAAATGACATCATACAATTTTTGTTCTTCTCTGACTTATATTTCACTCGGCATAATTCCCTCTAGGTCCGTCCATGTTGTTGCGATGGCCAGATTGCATTCTTTCCTCTTTACTGCTGAGTGACAGTCTATTGCATATTTGTACCATGTCTTCTTCACCCACTCGTCTACTGGTGGACACCTAGGTTGTGTCCATACCTTGGCTATTGTAAATAATGCTGCAGTGAACACAGGGGTGCAGATATCTTTTTACATTTATCTTTAGATAAATACTCAGAAGTGGAATGCTGAGTCATGTGGTAGTTCTGTAACTTTTTAAGAAACCTCCATCCTGTTTTCTATGGCTGCACCGATTTACAGTCACTGAGGATAGCCATTCTAACAGGTGCGAGGTGTTATCTCATTGTGGTTTTAATTTGCATTTCCCTGATGATTAGTGTTGCGATCTTGGCCATCTGTATGTCCTCTTGGGAGAAATGTCTATTGGGGTCCTCTGCCCATTTTTTAAAAAATTAATCCTCACCCAAGGATATTTTTTTTGCATTGAGTTTTTTTTTAGAGAGTGAAAAAGAGAAAGGGAGGGCGGGAGGTCGTCTTGGAGAGAAGAAGGGAGAGAAAGAAACACTGACATGAGGGAGACAAGTCGAGTGGTTGCCTCCCACAGGCACCAGGCAATCCTGCAGGAGAGAAAGAAACACTGACATGAGGGAGACAAGTCGAGTGGTTGCCTCCCACAGGCACCAGGGAACAATCCTGCAATCCAGGTGCATGGCCTTGGCCGGAAATCGAACCCTTGGACCTTTGATCTATAAGCCAGTACCAGGCTGTTTTGATTACAGTGGCTTTGTAGTATAACTTGATAACCAGTATTGTGATTCCTCCAACTTTGTTCTTCTTTCTCAAGATTGATTTGGCTATTTGAAGTTTTTTATGGTTCTACAAAAATGTTAGGATTATTTTAGTTCTGTGAAAAATGCCATTCGTATTTTCATAGGGACTGCAATGAATCTGTAGATTGCTTTGGGTAGTATGGGCATTTTAATGATGTTAATTCTTATCTATGAGCATGATATATGTTCCCATTTATTTGTATCTTCTTTATTTCTTCAGTGTCTTTTTAAAAAAAATATATTTTTTATTGATTTTTTACAGAGAGGAAGGGAGAGGGATAGAGAGTTAGAAACATCGATCAGCTCCCTCCTGCACACTCCCCACTGGGTATGTGCCCACAACCAAGGTACATGCCCTTGACCGGAATTAAACCTGGGACCCTTGAGTCCGCAGGCCAAAGCTCTATCCATTGAGCCAAACCGGTTAGGGCTTTCTTCAGTGTCTTATAGTTTTCTGAGTACAGGTCTTTTTACCTGCTTGGTTAAATTTATTCCTAGATATTTATTCTTTTGTATGCAATTGTAAATAGAATTATTTTTTTAAAATTACTCTTTCTGGTAGTTTGTTATTGGTATATAACTTGCAACCAATTTCTGAATATGAATTTTGTACCTGCTATCACTTTATTGAATTCATTTATTAGTTCTAATAGTTTTTTGTGTGTATAGGTTCTGTATCTGGTGTGTCATCTGCAAACAACAGTTTTGGATGCCTTTTATGTCTTTTTCTTATCTGATGGTTGTAACTAGGACTTCCAATGATATGTTGAATAAAACTGGTGAGAGTGGACATCCTTGTCTTGTTCTTGATCTTAAAGAGAAAACTTACAGCTTTTCACCACTGAGTATGTTAGCTGTGGGTTTGTCATATATGGCCTTCATTATGTTGAGGTATGTTTCCTCTATCCCCAATTTGCTGAAAGTATTTATCATAAATAGATATTGGATTTTGACAAATGGCTTTTCTGCTTCTATAGATAAGATCACTGATTTTTATCCTTCATTTTGTTTATGTGGTGTATCACATTAATTGATTTGTGGATTTTGAACCAGCCTTGAATCTCAAGAATAAATCCCACTTGATCATAGTGTCTGACCTTTCAATGTATTGCTGGATCTGGTTTGCTAATATTTTGTTG